AAAGTAGCACTTGTTGGCAAGAATGATTCTCGGTTGGATTTCAAGGCTGACATTATTAATGGTCTAAATGCTGATTTCCAAATAAACGAAGTCGTCTACTTTTGTAACTGTCAACAGTGACGCGAGTGCCAAGCCGCTAGCTCAGACTATTTGTACGATACTTCGTTTCATCCTGTTCACCACCAGACCCATTCGTTTGCTTCTCTATCTAATTTCGAGAAGGCAGCACAGACGTAGTCCTTGTTTTAACTGAAAATGTAGGTGTTGTTGGCATACGCTCGTTTTACTTTAGTATGGGGGCCTTAAAAGTGTAAGGAGCTTTTTTCTGAGTTTTGACTTGTGTCATTATTGCAGAGAACCATCGTCCAATTCCAATTGAATGACAATCTAAATCATACCTCAGCTGCTGGTGTTCTGATGCTTTTGGAAAAAAACGTAAAAATTCATTTTAGGCGAATGCTTTTGAATTGGATTAGCTGTGGATATTCAATCCAAGATTTTAACTCCGATTTCATGAGTTGATCGATTCTAACGGAATTTGTTCTTGTACTCTTAATTGGCTCTACATGTGAGCCCAGGAGATTTCCAAAAGAATTTGTTGAAGGCGGAAGTTTCTATATGCGCCCTTCCGTACCTGCCGCCCGTATCAACATATTAAATTGCTGTTGATGGAGAGAGGGAGAAGCAACGACAACAACGTCACCATCGTTCGATAGTGTGTTTTCGTCAACACTTAAATCCCATAACATAGTTTGTGTCAACTGACACGTTCAACGATTTTACGTCGGTGTCTGGTTAAACCATTATAGTTCGACTATGCAACGTAGCATCTGTCTAATCTCTGTTTTATCGAAATGTTTAGCTTTTATTTTCTCTTTCTCGAATATTTTTTAAGTACTTTGAGACTCATGAATCGGTTGTACATTGTTTCGCATTAGGCCATTCATTTAAAAGCGAGTATTGAAAACTTCGAGACCTCGAGCGCAGATTTTACATTAACTTTGACCGTTTCCTAAACGTCCCCCCCCCCCAAGTTTGCGAGCTTATGAGCCAAAAGAAAAAAATGTCAACACTTAACTTTGTTAATTTGTAAGATCATCAATGCTTGAACTTTCACTTTGGTGCAAGAATTTCTCAGCGAAGAATGGGAATACAAATTTATAAATGTAACATATTTAAATATAAAGATAATATACAGCCTTCGAAGAAAGAGCCAGTGGGAAGAACAGCGGCAATGCAATTAAATGCACAAATTGCACGTGAAAGAAATTTGCATTAAATGAGTTTGTAAAAACGAACTACAATAACTATAGCAGCAATAACATTAACATTAACACCAACACTAAATCCAACTAATTCCTACAAATATCTCAGTCATGCCAACAGACTGCTATGCTCATCTGCTATGAACAACCGGTGCATTTGAGCAAATTGCATCTTACCCGAGTTCAAAAAACCAAAAGCTATAACCATGGCAAATAGTGAGATAGTCGCTAGGGCTGCACATACCGTTGGGAAGAAGGAAAAACAGCGTGTGGAAAATTAGAATGTACCTATCAACAAACAATTGAAAAAGAAAAACCTTGGCTGAACTGCAGCAGCAACATGCAAGCAGCGAAAGGCCACCATCGGGCAAGGCTGAGCCAAGATCATGGTTAGACAATGAGGAAAGAAAGCTGTTGAGCAAAAAGTTGCTATGTACATATGTATGTGTGTACATATGTACATAGCTAGCTGGGTTATAGTCACACAAATTTAAGTACATATTTACTTATTTACATACATATGCATGAACATAGAAAACTACATATGTAATCAAAAACACTCTTGTTCATTCATATTTATTATGGGATTACTTAAGCAAGGGATTTTTCGCTGTTGCTTTTAGTTTTTTTTTGTTCTTTTTTGTTAATAAACCAACTGTTGCGAATTTCAGTACGAAAAAATAAAAGCTGTCAGCCGACGTTTTTTTTTATAGATTATCTGTAGCTTAAGATAGCCAGAGTGGAGTACGCTAATCAACTTGATGTTGTTGTGAAGCACAAATATTTGTGCATGGTACATTAGAGTGGTCCAAAAAAATTTTCCGAGATAGGGTTTGGGGCACCTTGCAAAATTGTTCGCCTTGCCGAAAGAGGTGCTGATACCAAACTTTACGTTTCGAAGTATAAATTTAGAGGATGCTCATATTTTACTCTACAAGTAGTGTGTACATATATAGATATTAATCAAACAATTGGTTAAGCAACCTAAGAACATTTCAAATTCAAATTATCTAAAAAAAAATAGCACAAGCTCCTGTTGTCATGGCAACAGTAGCTTTTAATAAAAATCACCAATATTTTTGCCAGTTCGCATTTCAAGGTCATTGAGCATCCTGTATTGGTTACAGTAGAAAATTGAATGTTGGTACAGATATTACAAATATCAAAATGGAAAAACTAAGTTGGTGTCCCGTTTGCTAGAATGAAATTTTTTCCCCATACAAAAATTGGACCACTCTAATGTACATATGTACGAAGTCGAAAAATCTGACGAGATAAAGCTCTATATAAGTACGTTTGCTAGCGGCCGATGTGGTTTAGTAATAAGAAGTGCGCACTACCATTCCGCAGGGCCTCGGTTCGAGCCCAGTTCCGACCAACATAAAAGAAAAAAATGTTCCAATAGCGGTCACCCCTCGGCAGGCAATGCCAAATCTCCGAATGTATTTCTGTCATAAAGAACAGCTTCTCATAAAAATACAATCGCCAATTTTACTAGTACTTAGTATACTTAGTGAAGAAAATAACCCGGTTATCGCTGCCCGTTATCCATATACATATGTATTTGTTATTATCATTATAGACATATTTTAAGTAGATGTTGGGGGAATGCAATGCGTTGCAGCAGCAACTTATGCGGAGGAAAAGCTGGGGCACACAACCATACTGCTCAACAAGCTCAGAAGATAGGGCTGCCAGATATCTCTGTTGCCAAACCGGGACACTTTAGGGAGGGCCTCTCGCTCCGTTCTCTTTCATTTCGACGTGCGAAAGGATGTAGCAACATTTTGACAGACAAAAATAAAAACATAAAAACATGAGATCATTACAACGTACGCCAACAAAACAAAACAACTTATCCCAACTAAAGCACAGAGAATTTTTCACAATGCATGAACCTTTTTTTTATTCTTTATAAAAATGCAGTTTATACTAAATATATGAAAAAACATACAAATAAAATTGTTAAACTTTGTGCTAATCTCGGGAAAATTCAAATAATTTGCATACAAATTTGCAACATTCTAATCAGACTTTTTATAAAAATGTTTAAAACGAAGTTTTGCAGCCCATTAAATTTTAGTTGATGTTCGATAATTCTTTTTATATGGAAGACACTGTCAGCAAAAAACAATAAATGCTAAAAATCAACGAAAGTTGCTGGCAACTTCAGACTTGCACTTTATTAATTGGCTCAAAAGCTACATTTTCAAAATTTTTCTAAAAGATCTTATTAGAAATTGTGATCTGATGAAAGAGCCTCCGAGCTAATAATTTTGTACGGCACTATACTTATAGGTACTCCAGGATTCATGAAAGAAAAAAATTTAAGTACAAGATAATAGGTTCATTCCTTATCTTTTTGGACTAAAATCTGAAAAGTGTNAGTACTCCAGGATTCATGAAAGAAAAAAATTTAAGTACAAGATAATATTAAAATATCAGTCATATTTTTCGTTGCTGTGAACTTGTTTCAAAACTTCTATCTTTTCCTTAATATAATTGTAAAACTCTGTGCACATCATTATGAATGTATTTAGGTACATATACTAATCATCAACTATTGCTTGTGCAAAGTTCAACTATCTCGAAATGTGACTATTTCGCAATTAAACCGGTCAGCATCGAAATTCAACGCGGAATCACTCTGGTCACCAAGTGCTCTTTTGGACTGCTATGCTTAGGTGAATTTAGTGTTGGCAGAGTGCTACTGCGATGGAAAGACCAAGTAGTGGAGAAGGAATTGGCTTCACTTGGCTTTTCCCATTGGCGTCTGTAGGTGTTTTGCTGAACTCGACTAAATTGTTTAGGCGATTACAGCGCCTAATAAGAAGAAGAAGAAAGTGTGCTAGTCTCATTGAAAACCTTCGGATTTTTCGAAAAGTACCCGCATTCCTCTTTTTTTCTTTTTAAACCAGTAGGCTGAACCAGGGCTTCGGAGCAAAGGTTTTTTTATCGCTCCGCAGCGGTATTTTATTTCACTCCGAGCTCCGCTCTTAGCATCACTCCAGCTCGCAATAAAAAACTTTATTTATTTATTTACATATCGAGCTTTCACTGCCAAAAAACTTAGGCGATTTTTTTTTTTTTAATTCCTTTTTGATGCAGAAATGCATCCAACAAAAAAACTTCCAAGTAAATTAAATGAATTGAAATATTTAGTGGGAAAAAAATAATTTGAAATTTTTGTAGAAAAACAACAACAAAAACATATTTCAAAATAAATAAATACTAGGCCAGAAAATAACAAAAACAAAATATTGAAAATTTGTACTTAAGGAGCTGAGGAGCAAATGAATTTTTTTTAGCTCTTTGCCCCAGCTCCACTCCAGCTAAAGTCCTTTGTTTGCTCCCTAGCTCCTTGCTGCTTTGCTCCACTCCGAAGCCCTGGGCTGAACGCATAATAATTTCTATTTGGCTTCATCCCAGGCTGGGTGGACCATCTACCGCACCGCTTATATTGTTTGGGTTATGAGACAAAGTACTTAATATGAGTGGGTCGCACTCTAAGCCCCTGTCGTTTACCGAATTGGGTTGATACGGTCTATGTTGGAAGAAATTTCCGCCACCAAGAGCGATTTTTGTTTCAATGTAGAATTGACCAAGCGTTGCTCTATTGGTGCTGTAGGATGGAGTCAAAAACTGTTTTGAAAGTTTCCGAAATAGTCCATTATATATGTACATATGTATAATTTTTGTCCTATTTTAATAAACACTCTCTTTTATCTTCCGCAGAGCTCTCCGTACTGAGGTCTATCAGAATGTGATTGAATTCGGCGAAAAATTCCGAAGACACCGACAACCTCCCATTGTTGACATACACTACACCTGCATAATGTTAAAGCACGCCTCGAATACCGGTGGAGGAGGAGGAGGGGGAATTGCCAATGGTCAATTGCGAAATAACCCGAGCAACAGCAATGCCACGTCCGCGGTCAACCGCAGCATACATCTGCGACCACAGCAGCCGCTTAATATCTCGACGCTAAGTACCACACAGAACGCTTTGCAAACGTCCAGCACTTCGGTGACGGCAAATGGAGGTCAACGCATACCAACCCTCTTGAATATCGCCTCAACACCGATAGCAAGTGGCGCTGCGAATACCAATGTGGCGGTAACACCATTGTCGCCGAACGCCGGCAATGCGACAGCAACACGGACGTCAACGACGCCCGTAACGCCGCTTACACCGAATGGCATCGGCAATAATTTGCACACCTACACAAATCAGCACATTTTGGCTAGCAACAACTACACCAACAATAATAATAATACTCTTAACAACACCACCGCCACCGCTACCGGCACAATAAACAACAATATCAATAACAATAATCATAATCACAATGCTGCGCACTATAATAATCATAATTATAGCAATTGCCATAATCTGACTGCTGGTGCGTTGATAAATCAATCGAAGCATGGACCTGGACCACGTGAGGCGCTGACCAGCTTGGGGCTGCTGTGCTTAGGTGAATTTAGCAACAAATTGAAATGAAAATTTGTTTTTTGTTTTTTTCAGAAAACCACTACAATGAAAATTAATCCAAACGTAATTCAAATTCAACTCAACGCAAATTAAATTAAGCTAAAAGCAAATTAAATTAAACAAATAAGAAATTTTTCACGAAGTAAGAGGGGGTTCATGCGCCCTTGCCCAACTGCTGCCGTGAAGGTCATTCCAGACCGAACGCCAGTACACATATTCATAGAATAGACTGCTAAGAAAGCCCTCCTCAACTTTATGAGAGAGGGCACCGGCAAGGTTAAAGTGAACCAAGATTGCTATATCCAAGCTCAACAGAGTCGACATGGTATAGAGGCAGTAAATATATGGTCCTAAGGCCAAAATATCTATTTTCTTGGAGGATTAGCCTACCACCTTTCAAGCGGAGGTTTATGCCATCAGTGCGAAAGTAATTCTGCACAGACAACTAAGGGCAGATGAGGTGACAGTCAGGCCGCAGTAAAAGCCATATCCTCATGTGAAATCAAATCACATATAGTATACATTGAATGTCTAGCGAGATTGAATATTATGGGGGAACATAACACACTACAATTGTTGTGGGTTCCAGACCACAAAG